GACCTCTTCCCCAGGAGGCAGTGCCCAAGCTGAGGCCAGAAGCAGGAAGAGTTGGACCAGGGGTGGGGGTTGGGCATCTGAGGAGAGCGGTGCCTCTCCCATACCAAGTGGTAAATGGCATGCATGTTCCAGGGATGAAAACTATTATGTCATGCTGATGACGTTAGGTCTACATCTCAGGGAGTGTGGGCAGGTCAGGGTATAAGGGGGCTGTTGGGGAGGCGACAGGGATGAGGTCAGGCAGGGGAAGGGGAATGTGGGCCCAGTCAGGGATGGAGGGAGGTTAATGAGGAAGCCTCAGTCACGATGCTGAAATCCAGACAGCGCTATTGGCTAGATACTGGGGTAGGAGGTTTGAAAAAAGTTGGCTGCAAAGCAGGGAGTGCTCCTAGAAGACTGGGGATCTGGGGTGAAGGAACAGGAGGAGCTGAGCTGGGTGCCCAGGCATCTGTCCAGGCTGGAGACGAGGTGGCTGAGGGCCTGTGGATGGAGAGAAGGAGCTGTGTGATGGTGGTAAAGGGAGCAGAGGTGCCACCTGCAAGCCTCTTCCTGCCAGATTATGGAGGAAACATGGGGCTAGAGCCCCTGGTGGGGGTGCCCAGGACACTGTCCCTTTTTTTTCCAGGGTGACCGGAGGGATGAAGAGGAAGAGACCCAGATGAAGAAGTCAGAATCGGAGGTAGAGGTGAGAGCTGAGGGACAGGGCAGGTGAGTCCAACAGGGAGTGCCTCAGTCTGGCCAGCCTGTCTCTGACCCTTCCCTTGTGCCCCCAGGAGGCAGCGGCCATTATTGCCCAGCGGCCTGACAACCCACGGGAGTTCTTCAAGCAGCAGGAACGAGTCGCATCGGCCTCTGTGGGCAGCTGCGATGTACCCTCGCCCTTCAATCATAGACCAGGTAGTCCCAGGTCCCACCCCCACCTGACCCGCACTCAGGTTTTGGCCCTGAGCCTCTTTGACACTGTTTTTTGGAAGAGAAGCCTTGCCCAAGGACCCTTGGAGAAGGCAAGGTTGTTCATCAAGCGTGCTCCCACCCACTGCCTCCCAGGTGGCAGGACTGAGAAGGCTGGGGAGGTGATGGTCAATGTTGGGCTTTGGCTGAGCAGTGGGCAGTGCTAGAGGCCATCTAGGCAGCTCTGGCATGGGCTAAGGCACGCCCCTGGCCGTAGGGAGTGGCTCTGCTGGGGTTAAACCAGGTCCAGCCTGAGGGCTGTGGTGCATGTGAGGCAGCCCTGGAGCCTGCACCCAGGTTCCCCGTCAGGGTTCTCACTGTAGCTTCTGCCTCCCCAGAAGCACCCTTCTGCTCCCTGTCTGCTGGTCTGAGTGTTTGACCCTGTGTGTGCTTGGCCTGTGCTGGGGTTTCAGGGGAGGGGCAGGCTGTCCATGGGTGTGTGTTTTGCAGAGGCTGGCTGTGTTGGGCAGGCTCCTTGCTTTTTGTGGCTGGTGCTTGAGGCTGTAGCCCAGCTTGGCTGAATGTGCGCCCTGGCCAAAGGCAGCTTGGATATCCAGGGCCAGCTCTGGGGGTGGGTGAGGCCTTGGGGCGGGGGTGGGGGAGACTGACCCTCTCTTGTCCTCTGTCTCTCTCTCTGTCTGTCTCTCTCGGCAGGTCGTCCGTACTGCCCTTTCATAAAGGCATCGGACAGTGGGCCTTCCTCCTCCTCCTCTTCCTCCTCCTCCCCTCCACGGACTCCCTTTCCCTATATCACCTGTCACCGCACCCCAAACCTCTCTTCCTCCCTCCCATGTAGGTAGCAGCCCCAGGCCTCGGCAGGGGGGTAAGAAGGGCCCCACTTCCCAGCAGCACCCCTGCCCTTACTCCCCAGCCTGACCACTGATCTCTGGTGTTTGTCCCCAGAGCAGGTACTGCCTGCCTCTTTTCCCTGGCCCTGAAGGGGCACTGACCCCCAGGGGCCTGGCTTATAGGGTCTGGAGTTGTGGTCTGGACCCTGGGGAGCCTGGGGAGCTCCCAGCCCCCCACCCAGACTCCAGAGAAGAGATGCTGGCCAGGCCCTGAGGTGTACAATCCTGGTCCCACCTGGCTTCTTGGCCCTCATTAACCGTGGGGGTTTGTTCCACAGGCAGCCACCTGGACAGCCACCGGAGGATGGCACCCACCCCCATCCCCACCCGGAGCCCATCTGACTCCAGCACAGCCTCCACCCCCGTCTCTGAGCAGATCGAGCGGGCCCTGGATGAGGTCACGTCCTCTCAGCCTCCACCACCACCACCACCACCTCCACAAACCCAAGGTAAGTGAGGGCCCGAGCTGTACTGGGCCTCTTACCAGTCCCTGTGCTGAAAAACCCAGGCGACCATGGTAACAACTCCCCAGGCACCTGGGCACCCATCACCCAAACTACTGCCCTGGAGGTGGCTGTGGCAGGGAGGAGCCCTGGTGTGGCCGTCAGATCTACCCTCTGAGCCTCCGTGTCTCTCCATGGAGTGGGACTCAGGCCTTCCTCCCAAGGCCGCTGAGTGGCTTGCAGACACTCGGTAAAGGGGCAGCAGGGCCCAGTGGGTGCTGGAGGGTACTCTGCATGGAGCTATTAATGGAGGCCTTCTTTCCGGAGGTCGGCAGATTTTCAGTGCATGACAGGGTAGGTAGTGTGCTTGTCCATGGCCTTCACTGATGGAGCTGGTCACATCTCTCTCCTCCATTTGTTCTGTAACAGAGACCCAGGAGCCTGGCCCTGGCCTGGAGGGCGAAGGGACAAGCAAGGAGGCCAGAGCTGCAGCCCCTGAGGCCTGGGCTGGCCCCGTGGAGGAGTCCCCGCAGGCACGGGAGCCTCCCCAGGGGCAAGGCAGCCCCATAGAGGACTTTATGTTCATGGTGGCTCCTGAGCAGGCTGTCCTGGCTGCCCCTCTAGAGCCTGCCATAGCCAACACCACTGCATTCGACACCCTGGCAGCTGCTGCCATTGAAACGGATGGCGTTGCTGCTGCTGACACCGCTGTTGCCAACACTGTCGCCCCTGCCACGGCCAGCCTCATTGACCTATGGCCTGACAACGGGGATGGCGTCTCGGCACCCCAGGCTGAGCCTAGCGCTCTGACAGCACCCTCAGGTGCCGAGGTCACTCTGGCGGAGGTGCCCCTGTTGGATGAGGGGGCTCAGGAGCCACTGCCACCAGCAGGTGAAGTCTGTGCCAGTCTCCTCAATTTTGATGAGCTGCCTGAGCCACCAGCCACCTTCTGTGACCCAGAGGAGGAAGTAGAAGGGGTGCCCCTGGCTGCTCCCCAGGCCCCTATTCCACCCTCTGCTCTAGAGGAGCTGGATCAGGAGCCGGAGCCAGAGCCGGAGCCCCACCTGCTGACCAATGGCGAGACCACCCAGAAGGAGGGGACTCAGGTAGAGCAGGGCAGCCTGGTGGTAGGGTTGGAAGTCAGGGCTTGAGAAGGGGGCTGACCCTGAGTGTTCTAGACTTGCAGCAGTACCCCCTTTCTCTGTGACCCACATTATTGGGGGGAAGCTGTATTCCTCTTCCCTGGGCCAGCTCTGCTTTTGTTCCCAAGTCAGGTGTCTGTTTTCTTGGTAACCATGGGTGGAATCACTGGTTGCTGGAGAAACTGTCTCAGGCCTGGTAGGTCCGCCCGTCTTGCAGGGTGGGGCCACAGTAACCTGGTGCTTTCCTCCTCGCAGGCCAGTGAGGGGTACTTCAGCCAATCACAGGAGGAGGAGTTCGCCCAATCAGAAGATCTGTGTGCAAAGGCTCCGCCTCCTGTGTTCTACAATAAGCCTCCAGGTAGTGTGGGTATGGATGATGGGTCAGAATTAGGATGGGGATGCTGGGTTTAAGTGTGGGCGGGCACAGTTCCCAGGGGGATACAGCTGTGGATCTGCTGGCCATTTCCTTAACTGCCCTCTTTTCCCAACACCATAGAAATTGACATCACCTGCTGGGATGCAGACCCAGTCCCGGAAGAGGAGGAGGGCTTCGAGGGTGGCGATTAGCAGTGGCGCCCACCCTCAGGCTGTCCTTGCCAAGACCACCCACCTGCGCTGGCCTCTGCCCAGATGGCCCGCTGCGCCTGTACTCGAAGACGCTCCGCCTGGCACCCACTCCAGATTCCGGCCCTGTCCGGGGACTTGGCCGCTTCCTTGCCCAAAGGGCCTGACTTTTACAGCTTTTCTTTCTTTTTTTAAAAAAAAGTTGATAGGAGACTTGTACAGTTGACTGGTTTTCCTCCCGTTGGTAGTTGAGATGTTGTTGCAAATTCCAGATTGTAGCGCTTAGCCCTCCCTGCTCACTCAGCTGGCCAGGGTGGAGGCCTCACCCTGTTTGGGGCCTGGTGAGGGGGGAGCTCTGGTGGGAAAATGTCCCCCACTTCTTTTCCTAGTTTTATGTTTCTTGGAAAAATATCACTTTGTATTCTTTGTCCAGGGCTTCAGATATTTTGCACGAATTTGAAAACATGGCAATAAATGGCTCGCCGGCTCTGGCTCCCTGGGACCCCCTCCCTGCCGGTCTCTTGACCTCTACCCACCTGGCCCTAAGGAAGTAGCAGGCCCAGCTGGGGCAGCTCAGCTTCCCAGCCCTTTCCTGCCCCCTCCTGCTGGGCGGGTCCCAGGCTGGAGGCCTTAGGCCCGATTCAGGTCAGGGCTATGGGTGGGGCCCAGGGCTTGGATGGCCCCTCCCCAACTCCCTTCTTTGCTTGGGTCCCTTTTTCACATTCAGTAACTGTTTTTTGGAAAGCACAAACTTCTGTAACGGGTCGTGCTCATGTCTGTTAATAAAGAAATCCAGATCCCTTTGGGCCTGCTGCTGGGCCGCCTGCCCTTGACCCCTTTTCCCACCTCCAAGGCCACAGGGGCACCTCACCGTGATTTCATGGGCAGGGAAGAGGGGGTCTGAGGCTCTTGGGGGAAGCAGGCTGACCTCAGGTTTAGGTCTGCATCCTCCAGCCACTTAGCTGTAAGGCGCACTCAGCTTTCCTCCTGCCAAGACCCAGGCACACCTGGCCACCAGAACCTTGGACGCGAGCAGTGGGTGTCCCCTCCGCTTGTACCAAACCAGATCACACACCTTTATTATCCTCAAAATGTAACAAATGGGGTAAGAAATCCCTCCCACCCCCCGCAGTCCAAGGGAAGTATTTAAAAAGCCTCTCAGTCAGGCCAGGAGTCTACTGTTGGGGCTTGGGTCGCCGGGCACCCCTCTATACGGCTGTAGTCCTCCCAAACAAGGGGATGGAGACCGGCAGGCGCCAAGCTCCGGGCTCCAGCGGCTCGCGGCTGCTGAGCTCCGAGTCGGTCCAGCTGGGGAAGACCCGGCGGCCTCGGTCCGCCTGCAGGCAGAGCGCAGGGCAGGGCGCCGCGGGCCGCGGGGCGCTGGGCAGGTGCAGCGCCGACGTGTAGCCTCGGTCCAGGAACAGCGGCTTATAACTGGGCGGCGGCTGCTCCTGTTTCTCTGCGCTGTCGCGGCGGCTCAGAAAGGGCGTGACGATCTTGCGGTAGAGGCCGCGGGTGTCCGTGAGCACCTCACTGTAGGGCGGCGGCGGCTCGGCCATCAGCACCGCCTCTTCGTAGCACGGAGGCTTGGACATGTCCGATTCCGCTGTGGAGTGGGAAGCGGTCCGAAGGTGTGAGACCACCCGTCTCCAGCCTCCCGCAGAAACCTTAGCCAACGCCAGGCCCAGCCCGCGCCCTCCTAGGTTGGGGCCACCGGTCCAGTGAAGACCACGAGTCAGCCCGCGGCCGAGGCCCCGCCCATCCCGATCTCTCCGGCCTAGATCGGCACTTACCTTGGCGCGGG